ACATTTCAGGCCCTCCTTGGTGGTTCAGTGAGTTAAAGTGCAGCACTATGAAGCTGCTTCAGCTCCAGTTCCATCCCCAGCCAGGGAGGTGACCACATGGCGCAGCAGACCTCACCTGTCACACCTGCTGCTCCCCTCAGCAGTGTACTTTGTCAGTCAGCCTGTTCTGCTCCCCACTCTGTCTCTGATGAGTCTTCTGACTCCCCACACCTCTGGTCTGTACTCCAGTTCTTGTATGCATAAATAAATATTTTTTAAAATATGTTTATTTAAAAAGAAAGATAAACATTTCAATATCCCATTACATGTCCTATCAAATTATTGCTGGGTTGGAGGAGACTTTCATCCCTACAGCTACATTGTTTTAGATGTTAACCTGTTTGTTCTCTATAGCACTAATTTTTTATGCAAGAGAGAAATGGGTCATGCATTTGGTTAGAGTAGAGATTTATTGGGCTGTGCTTCCAAGTCAGTGGGGTCCAGGTAGTAAGCGGTTCTCTTGGCTCTGTAATCTCACTCACTTTCCTTGGGCCTGCGTCTTACTGTGATTGTAGGCTTTCAAGTTGTACAGAAAGATGAGCAAGTAGGATGTACTCTGCAGACCTATCTGCCTCTTGTAGGATCACCTCCATGCCTGCCCCAAGCTCAAGATGCCATTTTGCAACCAGTTTTGCCAGAGTAATTAACTACTTGGGAAATTATTGAATGTTTTTCCAATTAGTGAAACAGATTTTTTTGTACCAACTATGCTTCGGTCAATGAAAGCCCAGACAGTAGAAAGGGCAGGTCTTACTCCAACATCCATCACTGGCCTATTCACATGTGACTTTTTAAATTTAACCATGATTAATTTTTTTTTTAATTAAAAACTAATCCTGGGCCCTCCCTGGTGGTGCAGCGGGTTAAAGCGCAGCACTGAGAAGCTAAAGCCACTTCTGCTAAAGCCACTTCTGCGTATGGATTCCTGCCTGCCCCGGAGGTGACCACATGGTGTGGCAGACCTCTCCTGACACGCCGTTGCTCCCCTCAGCAGTGTACTTCGTAGATCTGCCTGTTCTGCACCCCACTCTGTCTCTGGTGAATCCTCTCACCTTCCGCATCTCTGACCTGTACCCCAGTTCTGTACAAATAAATAAATAAATCTTTTTTTTTTAAAGATTTATTCATACAGAACTGGGGTACAGGCCAGAGGCTCAGGGGCGGTGAGAAGCTTCACCAGAGACAGAGTGGGGTGCAGAACAGGCAGATCTACGAAGTACACTGCTGAGGGGAGCAGCGGGCGGGTCAGGAGAGGTCTGCCACGCCACGTGGTCACCTCCGAGGCAGGCGGGAATCGAACTCATGCGGAAGTGGCTTTAGCTTCTCAATGCTGTGCTTTAACCCGCTGCGCCACCAGGGAGGGCATAAATAAATAAATCTTTAAAAGAAACAAACAAACAAAAAATTAATCCCTTGGTTACACGAGCTGTTTCAGGTGTTTAATAGTAATAGCCACTGGATTACCATATTGGAAAACAGAGACTATTTCCATCATTGTATAAAGTCCTAGTGAACACACTAGATCTTTATATACTACTTTAAAAAGTGTTTTCCCCATTATTAACTGATTTGATCCTAACAATTTGACAAACTAGATAAAGAAGGTATTTTATAAATATTTTCCAGTAACAAGTCTAAAGGTAAATGAATTGCTCAACATCACACAGCAATTAGAAACTAATCTAGGTCTTGCTAAATACCATTATTCCTATCGCCTCATTTTTCACGTGCAGTACTATATTCATAAGGGTTTTCACAAATGTTATTGGCCAGAGAAAACGACTGAGTCTCATTGATTTCCCAGTAAGTGTTCTTTACTTGTTAGTGTATGATAAAATCTAAAGAAAGTTCATCCATGTGTCCTAGAGAGGGCCTGGAATGAGAATAAAAAGATGGTGACACTTAACTCTTGTGTCATTAGCGATGTGAAGGAGGTTTTGTTCACATACTATCTAAAAATCAGTGGACTATAATTACAGTGAGAACTTTCCTTGCAGATTCCATGGCCTATGACATTATCACCCATTGGTCAATTAAAAAAATAAACTTGATGTTCACACAAACTGTGAATTCCTTCCCTCTTTTGTCTTCCACATCTAATTTTACTACTGAGCTATTTGACTAGGCAGAGTAGAGCTATTCTTGAAATATGGAAGTTAAGAAAAAAACAACCAGAACATTGCTTTCCTTTTAGAACAAGCCTTAGGCTGCTGACCTAGTATAATTGCATAGTGTTTACTTGTAGGAATTTCAGACTCAGAACCCAATCAATATACAAATTTAAAGTGTTGTATTGACCTGTTCATTTTTAGGTGTCTTCATTCATGGATTATTTCTGGATGGTGCTTCCTGGAATCGAAAAATAAAGAAACTTGCCGAATCATATCCCAAAATTCTTTATGATACAGTTCCTGTGGTTAGTATTCCTAGCTATGTATGTATTGGGGGTAGGGGGTTATTTTACACATACACAGTCAACTTGCTATCAAAGTGTAAAGTTGCTGCCAACAGTGAACTAGTGAATACTGGGCAATTGCTATAAAGGTGAAAATACAAGGATATTCTTTTTGTTAAATTTGTTTAAAGATCTTATTTAATGTGTAGTTGATCATTAATATTAAGGTCATAGCCAATAGCACTGCAACTCATGCCTGAACAATGTTTATAGTATTTTCTCCACAAGGCATGTGTTACACTTGGGGGCCATTGAACAGTGAAATTATCAACAAAAAAAGCAAAAAGTTGTGGAAAATTATACTAAGTAGACCATCAAAAGTGATAACATAGTAACAGAATGTCACCAAGTTCAGCCTCAGCTGGGAATGAGGTTGGCTGGTCTCTAGCATGTCTTTCTGTTGTAATCATGCCTGCAAATCACCATGAAAAACACCAAAATGATTTCAGGACTATGTGTGTTAGTGATAGGCAAATTCACAAACAATTCATAAATAGTTTGACTCTATCTATGTTAGCTATATACAAGTGTTATATTTTTTTCTTACATACCCCTTGCAGACTAGATTAGTTTATGAATACCATTTTTCTAGGGTCGTAACTATTAAGTTCTTATTGTTACAATATCATGAGTAAAGAGCTAGATTTTTCCCCAATTCAAAGGATCAGTTGGAGATGGGGTGATAAAAGCTATGGGACTCCCATGGATCTATCTGTGGGGCTCTGAGTGAAGGGTAGGCAGGCAAAGATCCCTGAGGTTTTAGCAGGTATGGTGAAGGAGCAGAGGACAGTGCTATTTGCTATTTACCATGTACATTGATACAGTGGGCAGAGAAAAGTTTCAAATACAGATGTAAATTGAAAATCAGAGCAAATGTTTACAATTCAGAAGTGGAGATCTTATTTTTTTCCACATGGCAACTGTGTCTTACAGTAAGTACCTGAATAAATTTACTTACTAGTGGATAATTCTAAAAAGAGGGAAAATTCCACTAGGTGGCCCTCCCTGGTGGCACAGCGGGTTTAAAGCACAGCACTGAGAAGCTAAAGCCACTTCCACATGAGTTCGATTCCCGCCTGCCCTGTAGGTGACCACATGGTGTGGCAGACCTCTCCTGACCCACCTGCTGCTCCCCTCAACAGTGTACTTCGTAGATCTGCCTGTTCTGCTTCCCACTCTGTCTCTGGTGAAGCCTCTCACGGCCCCTGAGCCTCTGACCTGTACCCCAGTTCTGTATGGGCAAATAAATAAATTTAAAAAAAAAAAAAGAAGAAATTCCACTAGAGTTAAAGTACATCTAGTGTGAATGCTGTAAATTCTTACAGTATAACTCTATCTGGAAAGTCCAACATCAGCATGAAATAAGTCAGCATCCCTATTCCTTTTTCCTTGTTTTGCTAAGAAATCTCTGAACAGAGGGCTTATCAAGAAAAATCACTTCGAGGATTGCTTTTACTACTACTGAAAAGGGGAATTCAATTAAATTCTAAAACATTATTTCATTGCTCTGACTATAGTTAATTCTCTATTCTTAACGTTCAGAGTGACTTGGCCAAAAATCTTATTTTTGAGAGTGATGAGGTTCAATAATGCTTATAAAATTCTAGAAACTTGGCTAATGACTAAAAATGTGGGTATACCATATAAAGGAATGCAACATTTTAGCACAAAGTACTTATAAAAAGTCATCTAAAACAAGTTGATCTAATTCTACAAATTGGGAAAAATCCTTTCAGAATTGTTTTTAAGATTGGCCTTTGATTAATAAAAGGCACTGTGACTTTGAAATCAATGTTGGCAATTCTCTCCTTTGAAAATTATGCTTATTCCCCCACACGCAATTAATGTGATGTAAAGGTGATGAACCAACAGGTAATATGCTTTTAGAGAGAGTAGATGAAGATGACATTTTTCTCCTTTAGTTTCTAAACTAGTTCTGAAAGTTGTGAGAGTTGTAAAAAATACTTTGAATCACTGTACCACTCTTAACAAATCTATTGGGGCCTCAGAAATTTGTGGAGATACTTTAGTAGACTGAAATACAGTGAGTGTAACAAGTTTGACCAACCATTTTATGCACTTTCTTGCAGATGTGGCTAAAGCCCTGTAAGAAGGCAGATATACCAAAACGACAGTGTTACACTGCTCCATTGTATAAGACAAGTGAGCGAAGAGGAACGTTATCCACCACTGGCCATTCCACCAATTTTGTCATCGCCATGACTCTGCCCTCTGACCAGCCCAAGGAGCACTGGATTGGACGGGGTGTAGCACTGTTATGCCAACTTAATTCCTAGTTAGAAGATAATGGCTGCCATGTTCCTATTTCTTGTTAGACAGTTGAATAGAAACTATCTACATTTTAAATACCTTTTGGGTTTAGTCTGTTTAACTACAGTCATAATGGTAAGTATATGTGCAAATGCAGCCTGCATTTAAAATAACTCAGTCTTTCTTGTAAGTGGTCTGAAATAAAAAGTGAAGAGCACACACTGCTTACACTTAGTCTTTTTGAATAACTTTATTTTGGGAGAGTTCCATTGGCATTAGGAACATACATAAAATGACACACCACTGTTGACAATGAAAAAAATAACAGCATTTGATCATTTCCAGCTTTATAAATTTTTAAAAAATGATTCAGTTACAACAAAAAAAGTAGATATTTTAGCAAGTATCACCTTGCAGGACCATAATCACATTTAAGCCACTGACTTACTGTTAATGGAAAAAATTCACACTGCATCTAGTTACTATAGTATTTCTAAGCATAATCACAGCTGATTGAATGCAATGTGATATACACCAAAATTCATATGGATGTCACACAGTGACAGCATTGTACAAGTAACATTAACGACCTCCAACAAACACATGTTAAATTAGACTGGTCAAGCTAAACGGAATGTTGGAGCCAAACAGAAATGTAGTGGAATTCAGATTGTCTAGTAAGACTTGAAACTGTACATTAGAATGATGTGAAATCTAAATACTGGTGGAACCCTAACAAAATACTAGCAGCAACTGTTACAGCTTCTTAAGAGATTAAAAAAATCTAGCAAATAAAGATAATACCATTTTTGAGAGAATATAAAATGTTATATACTTCCGGATAACATACTTGCTTTAAATCAGGCATTTATTTTAAGTTTGAGAGTATAATCCAGCTGTTGCTTTTCATAAAAGTTTTAAAATTAAGCAGATTTAATACTGGAATGCAGTATCCTCCTTGGGTATAAAAACTCAAAAATGTAACAATATATCTTGGTTCAGAAAGCAAGATATTTGAATCATTGAAGTTGGCAGTACTAAATAAAATATCAGCACCTTTTAGCTAGGTTGCTTGAAGGGCCAAGCAATGAGATGAGGACTGTTCTAATTCAGTGCCCAATACTGAAAATAATCTATGTATAAAACTCCTGTGTGTTACAAGGAGGCCATGGAAAATGCCACAAATAGCTCTCTAATTCAGGCATAAATGAAGGAAATGACACCTAAGCGCTTTTGCTTATAGCATAAAGAAGAAACACTGCAAAACTCTTACCACCTTGGATGCATATGCTGCTCTCAAAGTTTTTTTTTTTTGTTTTAAAATTCATGGGGTGAGGAAAGGAATCAGTGAAAGGAGGAGGGCTAAATGACAACAGTTTAAATGGAATGGGAAAAGTTTGGCTCTTAAATATTTGAACAGTAAGATCTTTAAAGCAGCTATGTAGGTTGCCAAGCAGGTTAAAACAAAGCTGCCTGCACACAGTTCAAACACGGTTCACCTGGCATAAATGAAGAGCATGTGGCACAAGATGTAAACAGAAGCTACATGCATATGGCTAACTACTGCTACAAATTATTAGGCAAATTTTAGAGTAACTGTGGCTTGCACTTCTCACAAATCAGTCACAATTATGGTAGGAGAGGAGGACCCTAAAGAGATTAATCCCTATCAGGCACCAACAGCTGATCTTGGCACAAAATGATCAAGTGATCTCAGCTGAGTTATTGAAATTTATCTCCCAAGTCACTTGGGATGGTGCTGTCCACAGGGCTTATCCTGGTCAGTACTCTAATTGATTCCATGTACAGCTTGTGGACATGCTGAACTTAAATTTTCTGCTTTATAATCTTACTACCAGCCACAATGTATTTATTATCTTGGTTCTAATGTCAAACTGGTAAAGCAGGGCATACACTCAAATTTAAATTTCCCAAATAACTAGTTAAAGTAGGGAAATTGAACATTTAGACCATGTTTGGGTTCTTCATTTCTCTGATATTTTCTAGAGCATTACAATTTTAACAAGAACAAAAAATATTTTACCACATGCTCCAACCCCTAATCCCCACCAAAAATCCCCAAACAAAAACAAAATGAAAGCTTGGGGGGGAAAAAACCAAACACCAAGTATAATATTAATACAAAGAACCATTATGAATCTTTCATTAAACTGAAGCTCACACAAACATACAATCACAAATTTCAGTAGTTTAGGCTGCAAGTTTAAACACTATGCAAATATATACAAAAATAGTAACTCTAGATTCAAGAATAAGGGCGTTTCTCACTGCTAAATTCATACTCTAATGCAGCCTGAGCTTTTCTCCTCTAGTTCCTATAAGCTACCCAGTTGCAAAGTTGTGTCAAGTTGATCCCTATTACCATATGTATATACGTAGCTGAATTAAAGGGCACTACAATTCATTTCTTAGCACAAAGAAAAGTCTGTCCAAAGTCCATTTAAAATATTTTTAAAGTTTAAGTGATTTTTGGTTCAATTTCTATTTCTGCATAGCCACAGAAGTTATACTAATAAAAGAGACTACTTTAGTGTTTTATATGATTATTTCTTTTAAAAAACATCTTAATCAAACCTATATCAATATTGGTTCATGGAGTCCCATGTTCTCCTTTATCACCAGCTTTATGTTCTAAAAGACCCCTTCGTGCAGGGAAGAGTACTGAGCACCAGTCTTTTGTGGTTAGGCTCAAATCTATGGAACTTGTAAGTAGTGCAAGCCACTGACTTTTCTTTGAGCGATGTGCGTACAGTACAAGGAAGAGATGCAAAGCTGCACGGTAACATTCTGGTAATCAACAGTGATTACTGGGAATGGTCAGAACTGGATGGCAAACACAATTTTATCTTCATAGAGAGCAATCACCAGCATGATGGCAAATCCAAACAGCAATCCTAAATTCTGAAGAATGAACTGCCCCACTGGACAAAAGCCATGTTCTTCGTTGTCACCATCACCATGCAACATTTCTGGAAGCTGGGGAAAAAAAAAATCTAGGTATTTACAAGCATTTTTTTTTTAAGTAATATTTTGCTCAAATGTTTTTTGTTACATTTTTCTACTTAAGCAAGCTAAGGACTAAAGCATAAATGCAAATAAGAGAATTATTTTGTTGAACATAATATTAACCATAGCACATAATTTAGTTAAACACTGTGAAATTTAAGTTCTGGTTATTTAATAGGTAAATACTAATTCTGTTTCTTTCCCCTACCTCATCCTACCAATAAATGCATACAAATATACATTAGTTATTTTTTAAAGCCACTGTCCACCCACTCACCTTATCAATTCTGACATTTACTTTATGCTAAAATGTAAGGCAGCTTATGAAGATAACATAATTCCTACATTGACTGCTATACATTAACTACAATGAAAATTGCGATTCCTTTTATATCTAATTCAAAATGATGTCATTTCTTTACTTTTTCTTTTTTCATCTGCATTTCTCATTCCCAGGAGCACATGATCTCAGTGATAAGCATTACAGAACATTCCACGTTGACACCTCTATGCTCTTAAGCCGTCATTTTCCCATCCATTTACAAACAGAAAATAGGATTATCAAAGCTGTTCAGTATAACTATTACCAGATTATATATACTACCTTCACAGTATGCTCTATTCTCTTAAGAACGATAACACTAAAAATTTAAAGAATTTTAGTATATGTAATGGATTTATATTTAAAGTTTATGGTCCAAATTCTAAAGCATGAATATATACTATATTATGCATTGCATTTAAGAATGAGCCACAGTTCAAAGTGTAAAACTTAAATCTTCAAGACTTGTTGGTGAAACAAGTGCATTATTATAGACATACAGCCTTTCTTTCCAAACCTTATCAAATGTGTTTAAGAATTGCTACATTCAATTTTCATTTTCACAAAACCATTAATTCAAGTTTGAGATGAATATCTATGGAAAGATAACACTAACATGTTACTTTCTTAGACACTAAATTTGGATTTAAGGAGGAAAATAGTGTTAAGTACATAGTGTTAAGTGCCTACCTGAATAAAAGCTCCCTTATTCACTGTTAAATAATAAGCACAATTAATTCAATCACCATGCCCTTATAGTGCTACAGTATATTTAAAACCTCCTGGGTATCTTATTTAAGAACTCTTCATTCTGGTGCTTACTCTGTGTAAAAGTCTATGATTAATATACATTACTGCTAAATAGTGACCATGGAGATGGGAGCTGAGTAACTCCCATTGGAGTTATTCAAAGGGAGATGAATAACTATGACAAAGACTATACATGGTCTACCAAAGCCTAAATATTATCTAGATGGACCTTACAGAAAGTTTTCCGATCTCTAGATCAAGACTAAATTTAAAAACTTATTACATATGGTTCTAGTAAGAAAACTATTTAATTATACCTTGTCTCCACTCTTATGCCAAGTCTTTGTTGTTATAAAAGTTGATTAAGTTTCTTGATATTAAAATCTAAGCAATATCACAGAGTGTGTGCAAACAGACAGTAAGCCTTCCCACATTTCATTCTACTCTAGATGCCAATACCCTTATTATTTGTCATATTAGTTAGGGGTAAAGAGACAATGCTCAAGGAGGATGAAAAGCCTGCAGGTTAAAGCCAAGGACTCTGATGCTTTTACACTTAATAAGGACAAATGGGCTTGAAGCACACAGTGATATGAGCTCATAAAAGAATCACTTTAAAAGATGACTCCAATACCAAGTGTGGCGGGCATTGCAAGGGCAGAAGCAGGGAGCACAGTTAAAAAGAAAGATGGTGGGCCCTCCCTGGTGGCGCAGTGGGTTAAAGCACAGCACTGAGAATCTAAAGCTGCTTCCTCATGAGTTCAATTCCCGCCTGCCCTGGAGGTGGCCACATGGCGCGGCAGACCTCTCCTGACCCGCCTGCTGCTCCCCTCAGCAGTGTACTTCGTCCATCTGCCTG